CATCAGTACTACTGCGACCCTCTCTGGCGTCTCTCTGCCGTTGAATAAGTGTGTCCTCACAACTCCTCACAAAATAACCGGACTTTTCCAGACACGAGTCGGTCGTCGGGTAATACCCACCGAAACGATCTTATATTTAACACACGATTGAATGTCTAATTAATCTCTTTGTTTGTCAACTCAATTGTTATTTATATTTACCAATACTTCCCGACTGAGAGCCACTACTACTACTACTGCCACCATATATGCCACCACTAGAGAGGCCACCGCCGCCGACATAACCCCTATCTCTGTCCAGATCTCTATTGTTGTCGTATCTGTTTCTGTCGTTATATTGATCCCTATTATTGTTGTTTCTGTTGTTGTAATCATAAGCACCGGATCCAGTCCTGTCTCGGTTCGGGTCATAACTGCCGCCATAACTACCGCCGGGAACGTAACGTCCGGAGTCCCTATTGGCGTCGTACGGCCTGTTCGGGTCATTTAAACGGTTCGGATCGTTGGGATAATTGGGATTATAGCCACTGCCGGTGTCTAAACGACGGCTGCTGTCATCGTTCACAACGCAAGACCAGCTCAGATCGGACCCCTTGTCCACCAGATATGTGGCCATTAGCTGCAAGTCCTGCGAATAACACGATTGGCGGACAATACGGACCACACAATCGCGAAAATCTTGGTAATTACGACAGGCGCTGGTGGACACCGGCGGCGGGTTTTGCTGAAATTGGTACCGAGTCTCGCATTCCCGCACCTCTTGCCTCATAAAACACGAGGCACTCTTCCAGCCTATAATTTGGGTGATCGACAAAATGTGGTCATAAATATGTGTTTTTTAATGATGATCATAATGTTTGATACCTCCGCCTCCCTGTTCGCAGTACCGCTCGAGAGTCTGTTTGGCCCGTCGTATGAAATCTCCGCCATTATTACGGGTGCTGTCATAAGAGCTGCTGCCGACTGAGCCATAACTGGCTGAACTGCCATATGATGTCCTGTTGGCCATACACGGGGCCGTATACATCATCAGACAGTCCAGATTCTGGCGAATGGCACTGAAATTAGATTGAAATGTATTGAATTTGTTGTTTTATTCATAAAATATTTAACTAAATTAGGAATATTTTATATTAGTATTTAATTAATTTTTTAAAAATTTGCAAAATATATTAATTCTGGATGTTATGAATGTGAAAATTGAGATCCTGTTTAGTAGTCTCTGTCTGTGTGCTGTGTCTCTAATGGGACCCAAAACTTTCACTTAAATTTAAATATTAATAATTATATATTTCATCTAATTTATCATTTATGTCAAGCATTTCAACGTTAACTCTATGGAGATTTGCGTTTAAAAGCTTATATTATTATTGACGAT